CTCGAAGGGATGGGAAAGAATACTTTCAAATTTGACGGAAGTAAATGTCCAGATCTTCGTACATGATCATATTTCTGCAAACATAGCTGAATTGCAGTGAATGAAACTGCGTCGATATCAGATTAGCAGAAATGAATCACACGCAATAACATTTTGCGTGTAAAGAGTATTCTCCAAATTTTGAAATATGTTATGGAAAAAAATATATAGAAGTGTATATTAATTGCTATACGGTGTTCGACAAACATAACTGGTTCGGCATACGCAAGATGATGACCAGGAAAGGCTTTAGAAACAAATTATCTGGTATTAAGGACGCAAAATAATTCCAGTGAGAAAGTATACTAATTGATATGAACTGAATTTCCCTAAAGATGAATTTTAAAGAAATTATAAAAACATGCATGACTATTGCATCAGAAAATGGCATGCTGAAAACGACTACAAATGATTTAAAGAAAGTCTGAAATGTGTTCATACTTTCTCATGCCCATTTTTACTTAGAGACTTCAAGAAATAAAAAATTTTAAGCAGGCAAATAAAACGTAGCAATTGTTCATTCAAATCCTACTTCAGTTTTATCATGGAATTGCGTTTGACGATGCTGCTGATACTTGAAGGCTTCAGCTAATTCAACTTTTGCTGTTGTCTTTGAAAATCCTCGTACAGAACGTGTAATGAAAACGCATTTATGTGAGCACCTCGCATGCAAGAGAGCGGCAGAAATTCCGGTTCATGAGACCGTTAAGGAAGCTTAAATTGCCAAACAATGAAAGAAAACTGCAATTTTAGAAATGCTTCGATTCCAGGTTTCCTGGTTACCCTTATTACGGCATTCTTACCTAGGAGATGAGGCTCACCAAAATTATTTACCCCATGTAATTCATAGATTTCCGTGTCGAATCTGAGCCTTGAGGAGTCGAAACTTGACCCAAATTGCAAGAATTTCCAAGCATTCGTAGACACCGAGGAGAGAGACTCCCAGGTAGATCCCAACCATCCCACCGATGCTGGAGAGAATCTGTTCCAGCGATGTCAGCTCCTGCTCTTCCACTATCTCAACCTGAAACGCGTTGTAGGGCGGATTTTCACGGGCGTTGGGAGACTCGATGGACGGAGACCGTCCGGTCGGTGGCAGAGAAGCTTGGTGATGATTTTCGTCGAGTGTTGCCATTCGCATCTCGCGATCAAGTTGTGATGATTTGCATCGAAATGAGCCCGTTGTGGTCAGAGTTCCGAGCGATTCAACTGACGGAAAACACGTGTGCCGCAGTAATTGAGATTCGTTTCGATCGCTCGAAGTGGGCGATGAAACACGATAATTTGTTGAACGAGCCATTTGGACGACGGCATAGGGTCTTTGATGCCGAAGTGAGCAGCAAACGCGCCATTCCGTGTCCCAAGGCCGAGGAGTCTCTCGAACGGCCTTTGCAGCGGCACGCGCATGATCGTGAGAAACGCGGACGCAAATGCCTTACAAGTTGAGGCGATCCCGGGTGCGCTTCACGCCGTGAATTTGCTGCAGTGCTTTTCACCGGACACGTCGTCCGACTTCAGGTACTGTTCGATCTTTGTCGATGTCAATTCCCTATCGTGTTCGGTTACGGTTTCACTACTAAAAAGTCTTAACAAGAGACATTCGTTATAGTCGGACTACTACTTCCGGAGTCAATGTTCGCTCATAATTTTTACGCATACTGACAGGGATAGCACCCTGTGCCTCAGCATCTCTTCCATGTAAATATGCTCCATCTTCAACTGTACATCACATTTTGACAGCGACAATCTGGCTAAGGCAGTTTTTAGTCGATGAGCCATGAGAAACGAGCGGGTATAAGACCGCAAGTCTAATTAAGAAATCCAAAAAGGCTCCCTGGATTCCACGACAGCGTAATGATCCTCAATACGCCCTCATCAGTCATATTTATCTCCACATTTGCGAATGCTATTTTTAGACAAACTCTGTTTTCTCCGTTTTGCAGTTCTTAGCGACTGATGTTGAGAGAATACGAGTGTGAGGAGCCGGGGTTACGCGAGTGGCCATCTGACGAATCCTGCTCTAAAAGCAAAATTTGATTTGGATCTTGTTGACATTCTGGAAATATTAACATGAAGAGCAGCTGTCTAAAGTGGCTCGAGGGATAGATCTCTCGTATTGCATACTTTTTTGGTTGAATTGTATTGCTTGGGAATCTCTACGAGGGAAGCAGTCGTTTAAAACAAGCCTCAGAGAGGAAAAACATTGAAATCGACATTTAATTCACATATAATATTCCCATTTCGAACGTAGATTCTCAACGTTTTACTTAACGTTTCCAAGCCGACATGTCTACGTATATTCAACGTCTATTCGATGTTGCTTTGCCAAAAGGGGTGTTCTGGTTTGGTTCTCCATATCTTTCTCTGTCCCATGGGTAGCGCAGTTTAAATTTAAATTTAAATATCTACTCTTTAAAGAATGACTCTGAGGCGAGACTAGCCACAAAACTAAGATTATCATTGAAATCATTATGATTTATCGCGTGCCTAATATTTCCGCTGTAGATCTCATCTACGGTTAGAGCGACGAAAGACTGGACATATTTAGGCGACAAACAATTTGATTTCGAGAATATAACTGAAAGATGAAACTAGAAATAATGAAGCCATTTTAGGAGGAATTATATGTTCACCAAATAAAAAAAAAAGAGTTTCAATGGGTGCTCTTCCAAAGTCGTTTTTTTTCATATACCAACAGTAGAGGAAAAAAGTATTCCATCTGGATACTATAGTAGGGGCTTCTCACTTGGGAATAGAAAATTCCCCAATGTAGGCAAAATCGGTCCAGTATCGAATTATTTGAAACCCGGCCAAAACGAAATGGATTCGTCTCGACGGTCGCGTCTCAATCGCGCAGGAAAGCCGTCGACGTCGACAGGTCCACTGATCATCCTCATCCATTCGACCCTCCTAACGTTTTTCGCGCCTCGGTCTGTCGGCCATGTGGTTCATGCGTGCAGATTGCCATCGTTATCGAGTCGATGTGTTCGTTTCTGGGTAATCTGATGAAAGGGGGACGTCGCAATAGCCTTCCCAATTACAGTCGTGAGTAGAGCGATTATCCGTATAATATGTACTATTTGGCTTCACCTTTGCCGCCGTATTTTATGTGTGTAATAACCGCCTTATATCCTCCTTGTGACGGTACGAACGTTTGTTATTGTTACGTGCAACGGCATACGAGCGAGCTCCTCATAAGAGTCCGTCTCGCAAGTTTACCCTACCTGATGGAAAGCACCGACGCCCCACACCAATAAAACGGTCACCCGTTTGGAGGAGAAAAGGAAAGCCATGAATATACGAGGACGCATGGTATACCTAGAGCACTCACGATCGCGCATGATTCATCTACTTTCCAATCTTGGATGTGTTTACAATGCATCTTGCGTGTTCTGCAGTCTGCTCTACGCTTCATCAGGCAAGACTGGTACTATCCAAAACCGATTCCGGTCACACTGTTATAATTCTCGATGCCGGCCGCAAACTCGCTCTATCGTTCCAGCGCGACGTCCTAATCCACAGAAAATATTAATGAAATAAATTTTTAAAATTTCTCTCACAGAATTGAATGAAAAATTATTTACTGGAGACACCCATCATACACTCATATTGCCTGTTATATTCGCGTAGGAAAACGGAAAGAGCATCGTGGAAAAAGCTTGCAAAGCGATAGTAAAGATATTCATCTAGCATTAGGTGTAGAAAAGGAGAAAAAATCTTCACTTTCTAGGCGTATTTTTTGGCGGGATCACATTTCATGTCGAAGCCATTTGTACGGAAAAACCAATAATTGCAATAGTTGGTTAGTTGAGAGTAAAAATATCCAATCCTAGGCTTGGGATTGGGTAGTACCATGTGGTTCTTCTCTAATCCCAGCCGATATAGATCAATTGTGGAAGTGATACATCATTAAATCAAAGAATTCGTAAACAACGAATGCATTTATTGGAGGAGTGTTTCAAGCTCCCAATATCGTTAATTCCATCCCTTGCAGGATGAAAAAATTACCCATTTTTCTGGGTCAGTGGAAAGTTATTATTATAGAGATCGTTATCTCCATACCCAAACGCCTAACGTGGGTGCAGTGAGTTCGGAGTTGGTAAAAAAAAAATATTTCCGTGGCTCCTACGTATTCAAAGCAGGATTCGATTTTTACCTGAAGTGCAATTGTTTTCCCAGGCCCCAGTTCGCCACTCGGAATGTTATTGACTCTGCAACACCGGTTATTTCCAGTCTATTGAATAGCCAAACAAGTGCTGAAAACTGTCATTTTGAACGCGATAGTACAATCCATTTACAAATTCCGCACGAACGTGGGCAAATGCGTCGGCACCGCTTTCGTTACATCAGTTGTAATTGTCTGTGATAAGTGAAGAACCTTATTCCCACCGACCTCTCACTAATTACAACAGAAATGTGAAAGTGTAAAATATTGAAACAGGGAATTTCCAATTGTAGGAAACGCGGATCATCAACAACTTTATTATATAAGTCATTGGGGGTATTTAAAATTCAAAAAAGCTGCATCACATGGAGAAACAGGATCATAATCGAGTATTGTTAAAAAGTGCTTATTCCATGGGTATAGAAAAATACAAATCCCAAATATTAAAAAAAATAAACTTGGATGGGAAAGAATAGTTTCAAATTCGACAGAAATAAATGTCCATAACTTCGTACATTTGTGGAAACGTAGCTGAATTTCAGCGAATGAAACTGCGTCGATTTCATAGTAATTAGCAGAAATTAATCACACGCAATAACATTCTGCGTGTGAAGAGTATTCTCCAAATTTTGAAAAATGTTATGGAAAAAATTGTATAGACGCGCATATTAATTGCTTTGCGGTGTTCTGCAGACATAACTGGCTCGGCATGCGCAAGATGATGACCAGGAAAGGCTTTAGAAACAAATTATCTGATATTATGGACACAAAGTAATTCCAGTAAGAAAATATACTAAATAATATCAAGTGAATTTGCTAAAGATGCATTTTTAAGAAATGATGAAAATATGCATGATTATCGCATCAGTAAATGGCATGCTCAAAACGACTAAAAATGATTTAAAGAAAGTCTGAAATATGTTCCGACTTTCTCATGCCCATTTTTACTTAGAGACTTCAAAAAAGAAAAATTTTAAAGTAGGCAAGTAATACGTTGCAATGGTTTACTTAAATCCTACTTCAGTTTCATCGTGAAAATTGTGTTTAACGATGCTGCCGATGCTTGAAGGCTTCAGCTACTTCAACTTTTGCTGTTGCCTTTGAAAATCCTCGTACAGAGGACGAACGTGCAATGATTGTAATAAATGTGTAAAACGCAATTTTGTAAGCACCTCGCATGCAAGAAAGCAGCAGAAATTCCGGTCCATGCGACCGTTAAGGAATCTTAAATTGCCAAGCGATGAAAGAGAACTGCAATTTTAGGAATGCTACGATTCCAGGTTTCCTGGTTACCCTCATTACGGCATTCATACCTAGGAGATGAGGCTCACCAAAACTCTTTACCCCATTCAATTCATAGATTTGCGCGTATAATCTGAGCCCTGAGGAGTCGAATCCTGACCCAAATTGCAAGAATCTCCAAGCATTCGTATACACCGAGGAGAGAGACGCCCAGGTAGAGCCCAACCATCCCTCCGATGCTGGAGAGAAACTGTTCCAGCGATGTCAGCGAATGCTCTTCCACTATCTCAACCTGAAAAGCATTAAATAACGGATTTTTTCGTTCGGATGGAGAACTTTCGACTGGTAACCTTCACAATCAAGGTCATTCGAGTATTCCACAGAGCAATGGTTGCTTGTTGCCCATTGCTTCGACTGAATACAGGAAACGTTTCTTAAGAATTTTCAAAACCAGCAACTCACCTCGGCTGTGGGGGTATTCAACTTGATCATGCCGTAATGCCGGAGAGGAATGTCTGGATCATCGAGTTGGATCACGTTATACGTTTTCCTCTTGCATTTCCTCGGACATCCAGGATCAAAATCTTCATGCAATTCATCGTAGAAGTTGATAAAATCTGTTTGGTCTTGAGAAGTGTTGCAATGGCGCATCGTTGCTGCTTGGTCATGTTTGATCGGTAATACTGACGGCTGGATACACGGGGCTTCATTCATGTACTCCACTAATGCGGTTTCCAAACACTGTCGGTCATCAAGTCATATATACTCGATAAAATTTCTCGAAATGATAGGGGACGGGAGAGCTGATAGGGTTGGGCTGGAATTACCTTCTTGTAGTCGTATTCCTCGTCCCCATTGCACTTACTTCCCGAAGGCAAGAATTCGTAGTACTTAAGAGAGAGGCTCAGCATGTAACTCCTTTCGCCCAAGAGGAAGAAGGTCTTCCCTGAGGATGTCACATTCCTCACTGCTGTGAACGGTTCGTCCGGCGAGTCGATGCGGATCTCGTAATAGGGTTCGCCAAAGTCGCCGGATTCATCGATGGAGTCTTTGAAGCTCAAAGCAAATTCCATGACAGGGGAAATGGAGGAAAGCCGCATCCGGAGGCTTGATTTAACATGGAAAGTGTAGCAATATTTCAGAGGCGAATTGGAGCCGCTCCAATTCACAATCCGTGTCTCTCTCCAGTATCCCGCTGCGAAATGTTACGATACCTTTGTTATTCATGGTCATTCAATTAAGGTCATTCAAGGAAATGAAAGAAACAGAAGGGTTCCTGGACATACCTTCCGTTTCATAGACCCGGCTCCCATTTATCCAGGTATAGCCATCACGAGGAGAACAACGATAATATTCGTAATTTTGGGGATTGATGGGGAAAGTGCATAAAACCACTATTTTAGAAAGGTCCCATAAGGAATATGAATTCAGTGCTTCCAAGACGCTAATGTTAAGCAATTCCTGAAACAAGTCGCTCCAAATCGAGTTGTAAGCCGAAAACCCGGTCACGTTGAGGAGCTTGAGTGCAGTGAAATTCCACGTGACTCCAGGACAAACTGTTATTTCTGGATACTCCACTCTGGCTCGGGACTCGATCCGTATAGTCTGGGCCGTTGGATTGCTCCTGAAGTATTCAATCAACCCTTTCGCCTGCTCAATATCCCATATATATGTATTTTTTTTAGCTGTAAATACGATTTTTTCCTGTAAACTTTATGGCTATAGGCGAGAGTTTTGAGACAAAACCTGAATAACGGTGAGTGAGAATCCGGTACATAATATGAGGATCCAGAGTAGTCTTCGGATTCCAGACCTCCGTGCCATCCCGAAGTCGATCTTCGGATAAACCGCCGGCCCTGAAAAATCACATCGACGGTGGTCATTTCCGCCTCATTGTCGGAATGGTACCTGACGTTCCGCTGAGATTTCGGCGTCCGGATTTACATCGCGGAAAACGTCCGCCTGCGTCCAGCGGGTTTCGTGCTCGCGGTGACCGCTGCCTCCCATTATACGTTTTCTGTTCAGTATAAATCCACCATTAGCCATACAAGGAGTATTCGTTGTATCCATCGGTGCGTTATCATTTTCATTGAATACTGTTTCTTACAGTGATGAGGCCCACAGAATGAACTTGACATTTCCTTTGCGCATTAAATATCTTCATCTTATTATATAATATGTTGAAAGAGGAATGCAACCCATCGGGTTTTGTTCCTTCTAGAGGCACACATTAAAGGTAGAAAAAAGTGTGAGAATTACTCATTGCCAAAAGGAAGACTTTTTATATCTCACATGAAGACCAAAGTAATAGTGATATCCAGGATGACTTCGAATGTTAATATGGCATCGAATCAGACAGATGACCATGATTGGCACACATTTCTTGAGCGCCCCATACGAACGTTAGGATTAAGAATCATCATGCTTTCCTTATAATATTCTGTAAGAAATGGTATCCCTCACAAAGATTTCCTAACGTTCTAATGCGGAATTCATTTCCTGAATTATGCGATAGGGATGAAAATGACTTGTATAACTCTCCGTGCCCATACTAGTTCTCCCTTTCGCATCTGACAATAGGAACGGTCCACGAATCCTCGAAGAAAAAATCCGCAACGCAATTGAGGGAGCGGCCGGAGAATGCCCATGCTCCAAATCCAGCTGATGATGATTTGAAAAGTGGTTTTAGCGCTTCTCTCCAATCAGTGGATATGTCGGGGTCGGTGAAATCTTACTTACGGAAATATCTTATGGAAATTCCTTCGTACCAACCACGCTTTCGCGTAGATCCTGTCCCTTTTCATTTCTTTCTCGAGTTTTAATTCCAGCACGAGCAACTCGGCCGACTCCTCAATACGTAATGTTATCGTATCGAGTCGAAAAGAAGCTGGAATACCTAAACGCCGCCTGTCTGGTGTGGCCCTCTGTGGCCCTCTGTGGCCCTCCTAAACGAGTGAAATGCCTCCGCATCGCGTTTCGCATTTGAGGGAACCATGCAGGTCGCATACCTCGTTGAGGTGGCGCGTCGCGTGGGTGTCCCGGCCTCGCGGTGCTTCCGTTCCCTCCGGCGGGTGCTTCGTCCGGGCCGAGCGAGGCCGTTCCGCGGGCGCTGCATGGCGGCGGAAATTATTGCGAGGTCGGGGAGACGAGCTTTTCCTCGACGGGGAAAAAAAAAATGTATTGAATATTTCCCTACTTTTCCCGAGACAGAATGCATCGTTCCAAGAACTCCACTCTCTTCCACAGTTCCAGATCGCCTTTGCGGGCGTGCTCCGTCTCGTTGGAACTGTCGATTCTTTCCGTTTCTTCGTTTGCGAAGGCCTCCCCCGTCTGCATCGCGTCAACTTTCCGTTCTCAATTCCCCTTCAAGTTCTTCTTGGCGGAAAACGTCTCCGCTTTGTGAGGGATCTGCGGCTGAGAAAAATGTATCAAGATTCATAGCATGCCCACTGATAACATATTCGACCGGGTGAAAGAAGATTTTTGAAACATTTTTTTTTCTCGAGCCTAGCGGAGCAACATGAAGTTTTAGTTTGCATTTCTAATGGAAATCCGGTATTTGATTCTATTAAGGGCATTCAAATCCGGACTTTGATTCTATTAAGGGCATGCAAATCCGGAATTTGATTATATTAAGGGCATTCAAATCCGGACTTTGATTATATTAAGGGCATGCAAATCCGGAATTTGATTATATTAAGGGCATTCAAATCCGGACTTTGATTCTATTAAGGGCATGCATGAGTTCCCTCTTCAGTTTTGTCCGTTCTGGCCAGAGTGCCAAAGCAAAACTTTGTTCATTACGTATTGTCGAGAGGAGGGTTCGTCTTTCGGCTTTTCTCTTAGGAGCAGAAAATCCCGAGACGGGAAAACGGGTACACGTTTGAATGCTTGGAATAAGCCTTGGACTCACCTTCGCAATCCTTTTTTTTTCCAGTCGCATCGGGAAGAGACGACGCACGTCAGAAGCGAGCGAGGAGGCTCGTCGGCCACCAAAGCGTCACTAAGGCCTTTCACTCCGGACGATGCGGTTCGGGCATGGAGCCTGCGTACTTCTCCCGTCCGATGCGGATGTCTCTGGGCAGCCGGTCGAGCGATGGACCCAGAGGTTGTCTTTCCGACCGTAATGAGGCGATTTCCCTCGAGGCAAACATGCAATCGTGGGATCTACTTTTTTCAAAATTCTCTAAATAAAATGGTGGCTGCACTTCTCCCCTTTTTTTTCAGAGATGAGGAGACCCGACTACTATCGATCCGGGCCAAGCCCTGCCCCCCCCTGCCCCTCTGCCCCCCGTGCCCTCCTGCCCCCCCTGCCCCCCCCCCCAGTTTCCGTCAAGGCAACTTATTCCCTAGCGAGAGTTCGAATACGGTATGAGAAGGATAAATGCATTACATAGTGCGATACCGGATAAGGAATTTCAAATATTGGAGTTCCCTAGCCCAATACCATTTACGATCTCAATTCTCTCCCATATCGCTCCGCGATTCAGCTTATCTCTCTATCGTTACGCCTCTCTCCTCTCTCCCAGCTACTGAGCTTCATCGACTTAAGGACTGGAGTCGCGTGTGTCGGCATGCTTCAGTCTACGCCTCTGTGGAACATCATTTGCATCAAAATGACGCGGGAATGCGTCGACGTTGTTGAGCTTTCAGGGGCGGAGAGCCATAAAGAGACGCTGACGACCCCATATGCTTGTCACGTGATGAAAGCGACGATCCCCAGAGAGACGCAGGGACAGCGTCGAACAGGCTCATGCCTGCAGTCTGAACCAGCACCTCACCAGCGGTTTATTACTGCGAGGGACTGAAGAAGGAAAAAAAGGAATGCGACGATTTTCGATGCCTTCGATTTACATAGAACATTTTCTGGTATAACCTCTCGGTCTCCTGTAACAGACCATTCATCGGCAATGGAAATATTCAGCCAGGAAAGCCTGCAAAATGAGCTCAATCAGATAAATGAAAACACAGGAAAAAAAAACCCGATAGAGGTGGAAGGAGCAGCTCGCGCAAGCAGCTAAGGGAAAGGGTTAAGCACGGCCGGTTTCAAAGATGGTTTAGTATTTGCACAGCAAAAATAATATTGAATTTTTTTTATAGGTAATATGAACTGCAAAAATTGTTTTCCCAAATTAAGGGAATTTAGCATGATTTATAAACAGACAGTGTTTTCAGAATTTGAAAGTTAGTGTTTCTTACCGTTATGAGACTCCCAGAAGAACGTGCTGTTGAAAGAACTCGAAAATTTCTTTAGGCGTTTATACGGTACTATAATCATTATATAATGTGTTGGGTCATGCTACCCGTGGAGATTTTTTTCTTCAAAGGCACTCAACTACAGAATAAAATGGTTCACAAGGACTTAACTCATTCTTTGTTTTACGAGGGGAGTTCAAGGTCCGTCAGTCTATTTTTTACTATATCCCCCCTTTACACGTGTACGCTCTTCCCTTCGCGGCCCCCCTCAGTTTGTGCTCCGTTAGTTTAGATGACATTTTCAATTAGGGCAATTAATATTTTGGCTCCCTACATTTCCCGTCGAACTAGGCAGAGAACCTCAATGTTTTTAAATGTAAATATCTGACAATAGTCTGGAACATGGCCAGGTCATGGAGGAGTTGCCCTTGCCTGTCCTGGAAATGGGTGCATGTTCCAACGCTAGGAATATCCCCGGACTCACCCTCGCAATCGCGTGACTGTCGTATCGGGAAGAGATCTCGTATTTCGTTTGCGACCGGGAAAATATATAATCGGCCTCGAAAGCGTCACGAAGGCCTCGATTTGTCCGCCGGACGAAGTGGTTCGTGGATGGATTCTCCTTCCTAATGCGGACGTCTCCGGTGGTCGAACGGAAGCCTCCGCGATGGCCTTCCCAATTCCACAAGCGTTTCCCCGAGGATGGATTTGATTAAACGTTTTTCATACTGTCCAAGTCGTATAAGGGCTGCACCTCCCCCCCCTTTCTCACAGACGAGAAGACCCAACTACCATCCACCCGGACCAAGCCCTCGCCCCACCAGCAGTATTTCCGCGTTAAATGCCGAAGTCGCTCTGGACCGAGCCGCTGACGAAATCGTAGACGTCTTCCCAGCCGGCCCGTCGACGTTCGGGCGCAGAATGATTCCTTGGAAAGAGGACGCACCGTGACGGCCAGAGATAGCATTTTACTGCCGACGATTCAAAACTCGTGTAATGTAGTGATAAATATGTATCTCGAGGAGTACCTGTGTACCAAATTTTAGTTTTCCGTGTGTGTCCGTTTTGTGGGGACGGGGCCAATGTTGTTTCCTTCTGATGTACATCATTGCTTTGAAGAAAGCCGTGCATACATGATTAGATATTACAAAATTGCATCACAGAACGTTGACATTTCGTTGGAAATGAACTCAATCCTCGACTCACTGGGACAATTGGGCCCATAATGATTAATTCCTTGGTCTTCGGGACACGTATAACGTTAGACCGATTAGAGGTCTGTTTCGAGCTTCATTAAGCATTTCAGTGAGGATGAGGAACCTGAGGCCTATCAAGAGATCCGTCTCGAGGGGTTCTGAGGAGAAAAATGCCTCTTGGAAGCCTGGAATGCCACCGGGCGCCGGTCTCCTCGTTCCAGGATGTCGGACGCCGTTTCGATCTCGACTCGTCTGATGAACTCGACGCAAAAAAAATTCTCTCGTGCGTTGGGAAACGAGGTCCGGACGCCGATGCTAAGGCCGAATGAGTCAGGAATCCTGCGGAAATGATGCGCGATATCCGGCAACACTGGAGGACGGGACCGGAGCCATCACGCTAAGTCTAGATTAACGGCATCTCATTCCATTTTTTTTTAATA